ATTTTTCTTGACTTCATTGCTAGATCGGATGGAGTTGCTACTATGGGGGGAGGGATCTCAAGTGTGTGTGTGTGTGTGTGTGTGTGTGTGTGTTGGGGGGGCACGATGGGGAAGAGGCATTTCAGGTTAGACTTGTTGATTCTGAGGTGCCTTTGGGACCTCCAGGAGGTGGCTGGATATCAGGTCTGAAGCTTAGGAGAGAGGGATAAGCTGGAGACAAATTTGGGGTTACCAGCAGAGAGAAGACAGTTTGGGGTAGGGATGATTCACTCTGGGAGAGCAGCCGAGACAGCAGGAGAACCAGAGGAGTGAACTTTCTTAGATGTAAAGAGGATTTTTAAAAGATGGTTGTGACCGTGTGCTGCAGAGAAGGCAAGTCCCATAGGACTGAAAAGCGCCTATTGGCTGTAGCAAGGAGGAGGCCATCTGCAAGGGGGAACATTGATGGGGGTGGTCTGGACTGGGCTCTGGTGGGGCAGAGACTAGGCCCTGGCCTTGACACTGTCCCTTCATCCTCAGTAATGTATGGCTCCAGCCACCAGGGGGCAGTGGCCACATGGAATCCAGGCCGGAGGGATCCACTGGGGCCAGCAAGCTTGCAGATAGATGTGGGCAGTGGGCAGGGACTGGGGGGGCGGGGGGATGGCCCACTTCAGAGGCTGTTGCCTGGTGGGGAGGGACGTTCCCACGTGAAGGGAGCAGGAATGAAGTTCCGGAAGGATAGGGGAAGGAACCCCTGTCTGTGGGGCGGCCGAGGGCAGATGAGCAATTCCCAGTCCTGTCTTGCTTGCAGTTTCCCTCTTGTGGGCCTTTGCAGGTGCAGGTGGGGTTTATTCAACCCAGTACTCCCAATGGTCATGAGGTTTGTATTTTGGACCTTGATTTTCTCTACTCTCATTACTTGATAGCCCTACTTTGCATTCTGTGTTTGAGGCATACTGAACTTTTTTCAGTCCTCACCTGCTACCATATGAAAGTCCTTCTTCCATGGAAACGCCTTGCCCTCCACCTCCATCCTTAAGGTCTTATCTCAGGCATCACCTCCTCCTGGAAGCCCTCCCTCACTGCCCCCTCCACCTCCTCTTGGTTCCTACTGAGCACAGTTTTCCCTATCTTGAGCCTTAATGTTCTGGCGCATAATTTTTTGTTTATTTATGTATTTTTGCTCAGCTTTATTGCAGTATAATTTAAATACAGTCACTCACCAACTTTAAGTGTACAGCGTGATGGGTCTTCACACACACAGGGTCATGTAACTGCCCCCAGTCAGGATGCAAAACATCTCCGTTACCCCCCAAAGTTCCCTCCTGTCCCTTTGCTACAGTCCCTCCTCCCAATCCCAGCTCCTTTCCACCACTGAGCTACTTTTCTGTCACTAGAGTTTCGCTCTATCTAGAATTTCGTGTAAATGGAATCCTATCGTATATAGACTCCTGTGACAAGCTTTGTTCACTTTGCTTTTCGGGTTCATCTGCGTTGCTGAGTGTGTCAGTAACTGCGTATTTCTTGTCTTTTTCCTCCCCACAACAGGATCTCTGTGAGGGTCACCTTTGTGTTTTCAGCTCATAGCACGGTCCTAGCGCAGACTAGCCCTCAGTGAATGTTTCTTAAATGGGACTGAATCATATGCTCTGGGAGAGACAACCTAGAAGAGCTTCTTGATCCTTGGAAGTGCATAACGCTAGGCCCATCTGCAAGATGTCCGGTGGCCTTCACGTCGCTCTCCAGCCGCTCTTCCATTTGCCCTGGCCATTTCTAGCCAGCAGGCTCTCGCTCCTCTGCTCCTTTCTAAACTTCTTCCTCTACCTGGTCCTTGGTTCTCCACTCCTACCCGCCCTTCTGGCCTTTGGAAACCTCTGTACCACGGAGCCCTCACCTCCTTGAGTCTGCCAGCTCCTCCTACCACCGCCTCCTGGACCCTCCCCCTGCAGCTGCCTCCACACCTCGGGCTGCCTCTGGGTACCATTCTCTGTGCCCCAGGAGCCCTTCTCTCTGAGCTCCTTTTGGGATGCTGGAGGCAGCTCTCTGCCCCATCCCGGGATGCTGAGTTATGATTTCTCTTCCCTCCTCTCTTCTGCTTCCTGCCATCCCCCTTCATGCCCCACTCAAACACCTTCCCATGGGAGGACCTTGGGGGAATCTCTAAATTTTGTACTGGCCAGAAAAACCTCTATCTCTCTGATTTCTTTCCCTCTCCTCCTTCCCTCCATCTCTCATCTCTTTTCTCCTCTCCCCAGTCTGGGTCCCTCTTCTTGACACCCTTAGCCCACTCTCTTCTCGCTGGTCTCCTGTCCGCCCCACTTACCTCCTTTCTCCTCCAGTCTCCCCTCCGTTCTCTCCATCCATTTACCTGCTGTCCCTGTGCTCCGCCCTTTCTCATCCACTGTCTCCTGTCTGCCTCTGTCCCCACGGCCTCCTTCCTTCCTTCCCGAGGTCCCATTCCACTTCTACTTCTCTTTCCCCCCCCTTCTTCTTGTACCACTTCTTTCCTCCTTCTCTCAGTTTCCTTCCCCCACCCCGTGTGCCTCCGTTTCCCATATCTTACCCCCTTTACCCTCAGGGGTGTAAGGGAGACCCAAGACTTGTGAGCCAGACACAAAGACACACACACACACACACACGGCCACAGATGCGTGAACAGACACGTTGCATTAGCGAGCATGTGCCTCTATTCAGAGGTGCGTTCAGATATGCAGACACAATTATAAGTATCCATAGCTTACAACATATTGCATTTATAACACCAGGTACCGTTATTTTTACACAAGTTTCTGAAATGTGAATGGGCCGAACGAGGAAGGGTGAGAGCTAAGCACACAAGTTCACTCACAGGGGAAGAACTGCGTGCATGCATATCTGTACCCAGACACGGCTCTCGCTCAGACCCCCCCCCCCCACACACTTCAGAGGAATCCACACTTCTGGAATCAGGGCTCTTTCAGAAGCAGGGAGAGCATGCACATCTTCCCAGCCTTGTGTGCCATGTCCCGCATACATCTTTGAAGGTGCCTGGTGGCTGCCTCAACCCTCCCAGGGTTATGACTCAGGGCTGGGTGGAGCCCTCGAGAGCATTTAGGACAACCTGCCCCCAGGGCTGTCCTCCTGCATCTGCTTCTGGTACATGAGGAATGTCAACTTCTGCTTGATATAGATATTCTGGATAATTAGGGGATACCTATCATATGTGGGCCACTCAGCATCCTGTCTAGTGAGCATCTGAAATGGATGGACTTCCCACGTAGCAAATCAATATTTTTGGATCCTTAACACCGGTACTAGTGTCCTTAGTGCGTATTCATCATACACATAATTATTACATACTTGGTCATTCTTAGAAGGGATGAGCCCTCACCGCATGCCGTCCTTTTAGGTGCTGGGGGGCGAGGCAGAGCACAGCCCATCCTTGTCCTTGGCCCCAGCCCTGGCCTGGAACCTCCCTTCTGGCAGTCATCCTCTGTCTGTTGTGCACACACACACCGGGGTCTGTTGGGTAGTTCATTGCAGGGTCCGTGTTCCTCCTTGCTCCTTCCAGGGTGGGCCATTCCTGTGTTGTCATTACACACACACCTTTTTTGGGGGGTTTCCTTCTTACTAGCGGGACCCATGTGCCTTTGTCTGCAAATGGAGTGGGAGTTTCTTATAGTAACTTGCATTATACTCATGTTGTGGGTCTCCAGGATCTGCTCATGGGCCTCTTTCACGTTGACACTAGGGAGGCCCATTAGGTCATGCGCCTGCTTTATGGGCACAGGCCATACAATACTTCCTGCGTTCATGTGCGCTGTGCATACACAGTGTGGATTCTGGCAAGCTGCTTGGTATGTGGTTCCTCCGTCCATGCCCTGTAGTTCTTGTGTGCCTAGTTTGTGTGCAGGTGGGGCAGGCATTTCCTGTATTTATCTGTGTCCTGCACAGTCAGTGTGGGTGGGGCCTGAGGGCCTGAGGGCCTGTGATGTGTAGGATGTATTAAGTGGTTCCATGTCTCTTATGCACGGGCTGCGAAAGTCCCTGTACCTACTTTGTATGCACATGGGGTGAGTATTTCTTGCATTTATTTGTTTTGTGCACACACTGTGGGTCCCAAGAGGCTGCTGCGCACACGGGGTAGTAGGTACTTCCGTGTCTGTTAAGAACGCTGCACGGTCCCGTGTACTTACTTTGTACGCCCGCGGGGTAGGTGTTTCCTGTATTTATTTCTGTTACGCACTTGCATTGTAGGTCCCGGGAGCCCTCTCGGTACGGTACACGTGGGCAGTTGGTGATTCTCATGTTTCTCTCACGCACCCAACGCGACGATCCTGTGTGCCCATTCAGTCGGCACGGGGCAGCCGGATGACGGGTAACAAAGCGACAGGCAGTTGCTGAGCCCAGACTGCGCGGCGCGCCCGCGCCCTCCTCCCCCAAACCCCTTCCTGGTCTGGGTACCACTCGCAGCCCCATCCTCCGCCCTGCACCGCAGCGCCCCCGCCGGCCGGGGCCGGCGGCCACGTGTCCTCCTCAGACTCGGAGCCGACTTTGCCCGGGGCCCAGGGTCCCCTCCCCTTCAGCCTCCTTTTCCTTGCTCTCCCTCCCCAGCCTTACTGTGTCGGGCACAGGGGAGGTGTTCAGTGACCGTGTCCTGCCCTCCTTGCTTCCCTCCCCTCCCTGCTATTTTTGTCTCCCCCAACCTGCTCTCCTGTTCTCTCCCCCTCCGCTCCCCTAGACCCCCTTGTTCCTCTCCTGGTCTCTGCCCTCACCCCAGCCTGCACCTTTCTGCTTTCCCTAGGCTCTGCCTCTTTGTCCCCCACCCTGCCACACACACCTTTTCCAGTCTCATTCTGTATTTCGGACTCTCCATTTATCTCTTGGTGTCTCTGTCTTGTACCTCCCTAAGGATTTCTGTCCACCAGGGCGCCTCTTCCAGCGTCTGTCTGTCTCCATCGACCATATCTCTCTCTGTCTCTTTAGATGTCTCCTCTGTCTCTTGCAGTCTCTGTCCAGGTCTCTGTATCTCTGTGTTTCTCTGCGTCATCATTTTGCCTCTGTAAATCTCTGTCTTTGCTTTCTGTCTCTGTCTGTATTTCTTCTTGTCTCTTTTTCCGTCTTGGCCTCTGTGTCTCTCTTTGCACATTTCTTGCTTTCTGTCTCTTAGGTTCCCTCTCGGAATCCCTATGTTTCTCTGTGTTTCTGTCTACATCTCACAAGTCATCTATCTCCTTGCCTCTGCCCCTCTCTCTCTGTGCCTCTTTCTCTTTCTCTATCTCAGTCTCTGTATCTTTTGGTCTCTGTCAGTGTCTTTCTGGCTTTGCCTCTCTTGGGCTCTTTCTTCATATCTCTCTGACTCTGCATGTCTCTCTTATCTCCGTGTCTATCTCTCTGTGCCTGTCTCTGTGTCTTCCTATCTCTCTATCTCTCCAGCTCTGTCTTGCCTCTTCCTCTGAGTGTGGCTCTTTCTCCTATCTCTGGTTCTTGCATGTCTCTCTCTCTTATCTGTCTCTCTGTCTCTCTCTCTCTGTGACTGTTCACATCTGCTGTCTGTCTGCTTCTTTGTGGCTGTTTTTTGGCTCTTCATCTCTCTCTCTGCATGGATCTCTTCTCCTTATCTCTTTGTCTCTGAGTGTCTCTGGTTCTTAGTGCCTCTCTCTGCTTTCATGTCCCCATCTGCTCTCCCCACCTCTCTCCTCACCACCCGCCCATGCCTGTGTCTACATGTTTCTGTGTGTCTCTGGCATCTCTCTGCCTCTGTTAGTCTCTCCCTGCCTCCGTATCCCCTGTACTCCCACCCTCTCCTCTCTCCCTTTCCTTCCTGTATTCTGTGTCTCTGGTGTCTCTTTGAGTCTCTGGGTCTTAGGACATCTCCCTGCCTTTGAGTCCCCCTCTGTTCCCCACCCCTCTCGCTCTGTCTCTGTGTTCATATGTTTCTGTGTGTCTCTGTGTCTCTCTGACTCTATGTCTCTGTCTCTGGGCATCTCTTTGTCTCTGTGAGTCTTTCCCTGCCTCTGAGTCCTCTGTGCTCCCTGCCTATTCCCTCTCCCTTTTTCCCCTTGTCTCTGTCTCTGGATGTCTCTGTGTCTCTGGGTGTTTCTGTGAGTCTCCTGGCCTCAGGGCACCTCCCTGCTTTTGAGTTCCCCTCTGCTCCCTGCCCCTCCCTTTCCCCTCTGTCTCCTTCTGTGTGTCTCTGTGTATCTCTGTGTGTCTCTGTAGGTCTCTGTGCTTTTCCTTGTCTCTGTGTCCCCCTCTATTCCCCACCCCTCTCCCCTCTCTCTGTTACTGCATCTCTATCTGTTTCAGCCTATCTCTGCGTGTCTCTGTCTCTGTGAATCTCTGTGTCTCTGTGAGTCTGGGGCCTCTCCCTGACTCCGTGTCCCCTGCGCTCCCCGCCCTCTCCCTCTCCCTCTCTCCCCCCTCTCTCTCTCGCTCGCGCTCTCTCTCTGAGCATCCTTGGGCCCGGGGTTGCCATGGGGACAAGGTGGGAGCCGGGGATGGCGCGCGCCTGGGCTCGCGCCGGCAGCTCAGGCGAGGAGCAGCGGCCAGAGCAGCGCCAGCAGCAGGCAGCGAGCGGGCGCGGGAGCGGGAGCGGGAGCGGGGGTAGCGTTGGCGGCGGCGGCTCCTCCTCGGCCATCCCCTCGGAGCTGTGCAGCTGACGCGCATGGCGAAGACAGCGGCGCCTACCGATGGGAGCAGCGGTAAGGCAAGGCGGCGCGGCGCAGCCGGGCGGGCGGGCGGGCGGGCGGCGGGCAGCCTCCTCCTCTCCCCAGCTCGCCTGCGCGCCGCCCGCCCGCCCTCCCTTCCTCCCTCTCCCCTCGCAGCCCCTGCCTGCCCGCCCGCGCCGCGCTCGCCCTTCCATTTAAAAATCTTTAAAACTTTGCATATTAATATCTGCGCTTTGCATAATCTGACCCGCGCTTTATTGATTGCAAGAAGCTTAATGCAGCCGGCTCGGCCTATTGCAGAGAGCTCTCCGGGCGGGAGCCGGGCGGGCGCCGCTCGCTTCGCACCGCGCTCGGGCTGCCCGCCGCCGCTGCGGCCCCGGCCCTCTCGCCTCCCTCCCGGCGCCCGGCGTCGGGGCTTTGCCCCCTGGCTGGGTATTTTTATTATTTGGGGGCGAGGTGTGTGTGTGGGGTCGGCTTACTGTTGGTGGCAGCGAGGGAACCAAAGGAGAGATGTGCGTGGTTGTGGGGGGGAGGGATGGGAAGAAATGGGGACGCAGAGGAGGTGAAGAGGGAGAGAATAAGGGGAGAAGGGGCAAGAAGGAAGGGGAAAGGAGAGGCGTAGAGGAGGAGGCAGTAGAGAGAGGAGAGAGCAGAGAGCAGTCGACTGGGGACGGAACTGAAAGGACGGAGGAGCAGAGCGGAGACAGAGAAGAGAAAGGAGGGAGGCCCAGGAGCGCAGACTAGAGAAAGAGCGGCCGGCCGGGAGCTGGCGGAGGAGGCGGGCGGTGGGCGCTTTCATCGCTGCCGCCCCCAGGCCAAAAAAATAAAGGAAAAGAGGAAAAAAATAACACCAGTAAAAAGACGAAAATAAACCACATCGCGGCTGGGGCCATCATATACAAAAAGGAGCGAGCGCAGAGAGGAGAGACAAGGTGGCATCTGCGCCCGACTGGCTTCGTTCGGCGCTTTGGAGAGGCTCCCCGGGCTGGGCGGGATCCCCATTTTGGACCCTGCATTTGGGGAGCGGGCGACTGTGGAGAAAATGAGGCGAGAGGGGGTCAGGGCTGGTGGCGGTGCCGCCTGTTTGTTTGTTTCCTCCCTTTCCTGGGGGTGTGGGGGCCGGTGTAGTGTGATGATGGTGAGGATATGGGTTGGTGATGCTGTCTGAAGCTCGGAAGCAAGCAGGGTGCATGGGGGGGGAGAGGTAAGAGGGCACGGGCAATGAGCAAGGGCTGGGGGTGGGAATGAGGGGCAAGAGAAAGAAACGGGGTGCCTCGGACTGCCAGAAGGGTGGAAGCCGGGATCGGGGCTCCAAGAGGCATTGGCATCTCTGGCCGGAGAGGTGGGCAGCAGAGCTCCAGGGCCCCAGAGCAATGTTGGGGAGCCAGGGTGCGCCCCTCAGTTCTCTGGGCAAAGTCTGTAACTTGGGGAACCCCCCTTGGCCGCCTCCTCCTGCCTCTTTTCTCCCTTCTCTTTTCTTCCTCTCATGTCCTACCTCGGGCTCCTTTTTCTCCATCTCCTTTGCTGGTGTCTCTTTCTCCCTGTTTTCCAGTTTCTCTGTCTCTTCCTCCTCTCCACAAAAACTACCCCCCCACCCCCTCAGGTTTTCTTTTTTTGCCATCTTCCTTTTCTCCACCCTCCCTTTCTTTTTCTCTCTTTTCCCCCTTCCCCCTGTCTCCCTCCCTGCCACTCATTTTCCCTGTCGCCCCGTCCTTTCTACCCCCTCCCTCAGCTTCATTTATTCATCACTTTTGTAGCATTCGGCTTGAACAGCGTGCCAGGTAGAGGGGCTCTGTGCAAAGACAGGACTGCCCCAAGTTCCCACCAGAGCCTAAGCCTTATTCCGCAGACCCATGTATTTCCACCCTCTTTCATCCCTGCTGGGGGCTTGGGTCTGCCCCGGGTGGGGGGGCTCTAGCGCCATCCCCCTCTTTCCTCTGGCCTCCTGGAGAAGTCCTACTGGATGCTCACTGGGGCCATGGCAGGGGGAGGGGAGGACTTTAAGTGAGGGCTCATGGTTCTGGACTCAGCCCCGCTGAGAGAGAAGGGTGTGGACGGAAAAGAAAATGACACGGATGGCTAGTGGGAAGTGAAAAGGGGAGGCCATTTGTGCGGGGGTCCATCTGAGAGGGTCCTCAGAGCTTTTGCGCCCCAGGTAAAAGATCCAAAGAGAAAGCCTCTGGCCTGCTGACCACTCCCCGCTCTTTCCCTCCATCCTGAGGCCTGCAGAGTTAGGGAGCAGGTCCTGGATTTAGGGAAAGACCCAATGAGACGCTTAACTCAGTAGTTTTTAGCCTCTTACCATCCTGCCAGGTGAATTTGCCCCCTCCCCCAGGGCGGGAAGGGAGAGCGTGGTGTCCGTGAGCAGTGAAGCCTGGAGAGTACAGTCAGACCATGGCGGCCATGTGCATGTGTACGTGGCCTGCGGGCATTGAGAGAGGCGTGCAGGACGGACTGACTGTGTGCAGGGCTTGGGAGCCTTGGCAGAGTGAAGAGAAAAGGTGTAGAATCGTGACATGTGTGTCCAGCGGGGGTGGGGCCGGTACTCGGGGTTTCCATTGTGGGTGATGCGTGTGCAGGAGGGAGTTGGCGCGAGTATTTATCCTGGAAGTTCCTTTCCTTGCCTCGATGTCCGTGGAGCCCTCGCTGCATGTGCGCTCGGGAGGCACTCTGGCTCTGTGCGTGGCGGCCGTTGGCGCGTGTGCAGGTTTGTGTGCCAAGTCTGGCATCGGCGGTGAGTACGTCAGTCTGTACGTGCAGCGTGGTTGGCCTACAGGCTCTGCGTGCAAGTACCAGGTCTGACCGTGGTGTGTGCCCCAAGAGTACACATGAAATAAAGTCACCTGTGTGAAAGTATAATACTGTTTCGACATAGAGCTATTATTACTGTTGTTGTTGTTATTCTTGTTAGGTGTCTCTGGGTCTCTGTGTGTCCTGGGTCAGAGGGAGGGTGGGTTTGTGAAGCAGGGTCCCGGTTTAGTGATTAGAAACGTGCACAGAGGTCATGGGCGTAGGGGTGGTTGCTTGCACAGCAACCTTGAAGCTGGGTTCAAGAAAACAAAACAAGCAAATATCCCCCCTCCCCGAAGTCTGCCAGCCCACAGAAACCTTCCCTGGCTCTTCCGTAGTAACAAAGCGTCCTGTGGCAGGGGGTGGCAGGCGGGCCAGGAGGGAATCGCATCAAGGCCACCGGCAGCATCTCCAGTTGCTGGTAATGGGATTCCGCATCTACTTCCTGATTTCTGGATAAGGCTGGACAGAGGCCCATCCACGTCCATTGGAAAGGTCCAGATCCCCATTTCCCTTAGGCCGCTGGCCAACCCTCCGGCCGGTTGCAGTGCCGTCCTTGGGGGCCTTGGTTGCCCTCACTTCCCTCTGTCAGTCTTTGCAGGGAAAATGGAGGGTGTCTGTTTCACGGACCGTGGTATGGAAAGAGCTCAGCCACAGTGTGTGTGTCTGTGTGTGTGTGTGCGCCCACAGCCATGCTGTGTGTGTGATGGAGGTTAGCCCGTACATCCTGAACAGCATGCTAGCCAGATTTTTTTCCAGCAGACCCATCAGTGGTCACCCCAGGCCCCCTGCATTCTGCTTCATACACATTCACTCCTTGCATGCAGGGGCCATAGGCCAGAATCCTTTCCCCCACTGATGTGACAGCCAAGCTAGGGCCCCCAACCTCAGCACCCCCCTGGGTAGAGCTTGTCAGAGCTCTGATGCATATTCGTAGTGTGTTGGGGCATGACCCTGGATGGGGGGACAGATGGCTATGCCAGTGGGTACTTGGACTTAGATGGGGGCAAGGAAGCAGTTTCCCTGTCTGGCATGTGGTGGTTAATTTCCAGTATTTTTTTCAGGATTGAAATGGTTGAGAAACCTGAGTGTGGGAAATTGTTGGAGGAGAGAGTGGACGTGGGGGTCTCCTCAGACCGGGGTCTGTTCTTTCTTCTAAATATATATCACTCATTGTTTTTCCCTTGGGCCTAACAACTCCTAATCTAATAATAATAATAATAATAACGATGACGACACCTCTTACAACTGCCTACCTCTTACGGCAGCCCTGATGGTGCCCCTTTCACAGATGAGGGCTTGATTCTCTCAGCCTATGAGCACCCAAGCGGTGCTAGGACTGAGGTCTTGGACTCCTGGTATCACGCCTGGCCTATCTTTGGAGGTCTGCCCCTCTCCTCTTATCTGTCCCAGCACCATTTCCTTTCCCTGGCTCGGCGCCTTCCCCCACTTCCTCCCTGCCCCCTGAGACGTCCATCCACAGGCCCTCTCCCGGGACCTGTCAGGTGGATGGATGCCTTACGTGCCTCAACAAGGGCTTTGAGGACCTGGGTTTCGCTTTGTATCTTGAAGGGAAAGCCAGCAAAGGAGTGAGATTGAGAGCCCACTTTGTGGGTGACAGTTTGGGGCTGGCCCTCTTCAATGACAGGGTTACCGATGAGCTTAGGTTCCCTCCCTCTCCAGCCCCTGCTGGTGAGCCCCGTGTGGCACAGCCACCTTCCCAGATGCAGGTGGTGGCCTTGAGAGGCAGGTGCCCCTTCCCTCACTCATCCACAGCCCCACCTTCTTTAGATCCTCGGGACAGGCAGCTTTCCCAGCTCTGACACACTCGGAAGGAGGCTGGAGGTGGTGACCCCACTTCCTAGGTCCCCGAATTCAATAGGTATTTACTGAGTGGTGTGAGCCACCCAGCTAATGAAGTACAGTTAGTTCCCTGAGGTAGTCAGGCCATGGCAGCATGATCACTCCTTACCTGAAAACGATTGTTAGGGACCAACCATGGGCTCTGAAGTGGACCCAGCCTTAGACAAGATTCTGGGTGCCTGGAGCACAAAGGGAGCTTCTGGGTCATCGGGAATCTGGAGGAGGGAGATGTGTGTTTAAACAGGGAAGTGGGTCTTTGAGGATGCTCAGGCACTGAGGAAGGGGGCAAGCGGGGAGGGCGGAAAGATGACTGAGGGAAGTGGGGAGCAGGGAGGAAGCGGCCCAGGTTGGGGTCATGGCCCTAAGAGCTGAGGTTGGCA